TATATGGGAGCTATATCTAAATTTTGACCGATTATCTCCAATTTCAATAGGGTTCGTCCTTGGACCAAAGAAATGACCACCTTGTGGTGTAGAGTATAAAAAACTCCTTCAAAAAAAAAAAAAATAATATTTTTTTTTTTTTTTTTTTTTTTTTGTTGTTGCAAAATCGTCAGGCAAAATCCCATTATTGTTGTTTTTATAAAAACAACGTTTGTTTATGAGTGGAGAACGATGGTAATGTTTACCAGGGGTAAGGCAGGGAATACCTAGGTTTCGGAAAGAGCCACCAATCCTCATCAGTTCCCTTGTTTTTGTCTGGGATATTCTCCCCAGAAGTTATTTTAAAAATAACTTCTATGACAAAAAACATTTTTTTACCCAAGTGACGAGATCGTAAGCTCAATAGAAGAGGAACCAAAGAATTATATAAAACTAAAATTCTTTTGGAAAGTCTTCTAAATCTTACAACCGCACTTATAAACATTTTCATCTTTCTCCACTTGTTATGCTTTCGTTCAACCTGAACGAAGTAACATAACCATGTAAGTTTGTTTTGTCTGTTACAACAAAAACCCCTTCGTCGACCGTGCCTGTGTCTATTAATAGAACAGTGTTTGGCTTGCTTGTTTGGGATACCATAGTATTTTGTTGTTGCAAAATCGTCAGGCAAAATCCCATTATTGTTGTTTTTATAAAAACAACGTTTGTTTATGAGTGGAGAACGATGGTAATGTTTACCAGGGGGTAAGGCAGGGAATACCTAGGTTTCGGAAAGAGCCACCAATCCTCATCAGTTCCCTAGTTTTTGTCTGGGATATTCTCCCCAGAAGTTATTTTAAAAATAACTTCTATGACAAAAAACATTTTTTTTACCCAAGTGACGAGATCGTAAGCTCAATAGAAGAGGAACCAAAGAATTATATAAAACTAAAATTCTTTTGGAAAGTCTTCTAAATCTTACAACCGCACTTATAAACATTTTCATCTTTCTCCACTTGTTATGCTTTCGTTCAACCTGAACGAAGTAACATAACCATGTAAGTTTGTTTTGTCTGTTACAACAAAAACCCCTTCGTCGACCGTGCCTGTGTCTATTAATAGAACAGTGTTTGGCTTGCTTGTTTGGGATACCATAGTATTTTGTTGTTGCAAAATCGTCAGGCAAAATCCCATTATTGTTGTTTTTATAAAAACAACGTTTGTTTATGAGTGGAGAACGATGGTAATGTTTACCAGGGGGTAAGGCAGGGAATACCTAGGTTTCGGAAAGAGCCACCAATCCTCATCAGTTCCCTAGTTTTTGTCTGGGATATTCTCCCCAGAAGTTATTTTAAAAATAACTTCTATGACAAAAAACATTTTTTTTACCCAAGTGACGAGATCGTAAGCTCAATAGAAGAGGAACCAAAGAATTATATAAAACTAAAATTCTTTTGGAAAGTCTTCTAAATCTTACAACCGCACTTATAAACATTTTCATCTTTCTCCACTTGTTATGCTTTCGTTCAACCTGAACGAAGTAACATAACCATGTAAGTTTGTTTTATCTGTTACAACAAAAACCCCTTCGTCGACCGTGCCTGTGTCTATTAATAGAACAGTGTTTGGCTTGCTTGTTTGGGATACCATAGTATTTTGTTGTTGCAAAATCGTCAGGCAAAATCCCATTATTGTTGTTTTTATAAAAACAACGTTTGTTTAAGACCCCCTGGTAAACATTACCATCGTTCTCCACTCATAAACAATCGTTGTTTTTATAAAAACAACAATAATGGGATTTTGCCTGACGATTTTGCAACAACAAAATACTATGGTATCCCAAACAAGCAAGCCAAACACTGTTCCAAAAAATAATAATAATAAATTAATTTCAAAAATTTTATCAAAAAATAAATAAATAACATTCGCTAACTCTTTTTTTTATATCTCCCCCTTTTAACAGAAAAAACTAATTTTAAAAATTTCAAAGTAATTAGTTTATAATTAATTTAAAATTAATTAGTTTATAGTTAGTTTAAAAATAATGCAGGAATGGACAATTGTCCACTGCCTAGCTCATCCCCATGTTAAAATAGTTACCTGGCGTAAAGGAATTAAATAAAAAATATCTATTTATTTTTGTACGTTAGTTTAAAAAAAAAAAAAATTTTCCCCGCAGGGGTACTACTTTTAAACTAACTATAGCCACACCAAAGCCGATTTTTTTTTACCAAATTTGAAGTATTTGCTTCTAAGCTTAATTTGGTCGTAAATGGTAATTGGTGCACAACAAATATTTAATCGGATAAAGATACTTATGGGAGGTATATCTAAATTTTGACCGATTCTCAATAATGTAAATAGCGTTTGTCCTTGGGCCAAACAAATGATTTGTGGAAAATTGCATCTCAATCGGACAATACAGGGTTGCCCATATTTGACGGACCCATGGGCCCATTCCAATCGACGAGGCTTGTCCGCAGGCAACATTCTTTGCGTCAATTGAATTTTGTACGGGAACAAATGCAAATCAATGCGAATAATCCGTTGTAAAGTGGACCGAGCCATGACCAACTGCTGAGAACGTCGTTTTTGGATGTTCTTGGGGACCTCTCAGCACTGGCTCGTTCGGCAGCGATATTCTCGGCCGATCGCCTTGGTCGACTTTTATATGGCCTCTTCGGATTAGAAAGAGCCTTACCAGTCGAAATTTTTTCGTATAAACGCTTAATGGTGTTCTTAGAAGGCGCACTTCTCACATTTTTTAATGTTTTAAAAGCACGTTGAGTTTTCACAATTGACTCCTTCTGTTGAATGTAAATTTCAGAGCGCTAGCGTGGCGTTTATTGGTTCATGGTAAAAATCTACTTGGACTGACGCTTCAAACGCGGTATGTCATTAAGCGATGTGACATCTCTGTCAAAAGTTATGGCGTTGCCAGATGGGTCCGTCGAATATGGGCAACCCTGTACAGGGTTGGACTGTTGTCCAAGCCACTCGTCCGTTAATCCAGTGACAGCTCATTATATTGTTTACAAGCAAACAAACGCATTTTGGTGAGAATTTTCCAGAAAAAAGTTTTTCGATCGATATTATTCGGTCGATTAATACGAGCGGAGAGCGGAGAGCGACCATCGGCTGTTATGGCGGCCCAAACTGCTGAACAACGAATATTTTCTAATCGGACAAAACCTAATTCGGCACTTCACCACTTTCGGTCAAGCGAATCAACTCTTTAGCTCTTTTGAGTCTATTTTCTTTCTTTTGCGGTTCTTGCACTTTTTGGAATTTCAATGGCTTAACCGCGAGCTCATTTTTCAATATTTGCTGAATGGAATATTACGATATGTTCAGCTCACGAGCCATTTTTCGGCCACTACGACGCGGGTTTCTATCAAGTCGCTTCTTTACTTTTCGAACCATTTTTGCTGATGTTGCTGTTTTCTTCCGTCCAGTTCCTTGACGTCGGACTACGCTACCAGTATCACAGTAACAAGCGATAATACGAGACTCAAAACATTTATTCACATTTAAATGCTGGAGTTCTCTAACGATTGCCACTTCATTGAAGGACTACCAATTAACATTTGCCGTAACTTACAAAAGCTATAGCTCCAACGTCATAATTTCTATTTGATCCCTTCCCACGTAGTTGTATAAAATAGTTACCTTACAAACTGTCATTATTGCTTTTGTAGGCTTGTATCCAAATGTCAATACATAAACAAATATCCGATTCCGCATAGATTTAATTAAACTCCCTATTGATTATTGAATGCTAAAAACATCTTAAATTTAATTAAACTCTCTAAAAACACCATAAAACAAAACAAAAATGAAAAAAGTTAATTCAAATTCAAACAAAACAAGTTCTATTTATTTTAATCCTTAAATTCTTTGGCTTATTGCAATGTAAATATGGTCTTCCAATAAATTCCAAAGTTTTTTTTTTTGTATAAAGTTGTCAATGAGAATGGGAAAGGTTCAATATTACTCTTTTTATTAAAAAAATATAAACAAAAGGCAGATATTGATGATTTAGCTTTAGAAAAATGTGTGCTCAATGTTCTCGTTTTTTAGCTGTGGTTAGTTTTGGTTTTAAATTCAATTAGTTCAATTTGTTTAAGTTTTTTCTTCATTTGTTTGCTAAAATTTATAAAATATGTATTGTTACACTGTTAGTGGGTTGTTGTCGTAGTGTTTCGGATATTTTGTTTTTTTTTTCTTTTTGCTTTTCGTTTACTTTAAATTACAAATTTGTTGCTTAGTTGCTTTGCCATTTTAGAATATTCAATTACGTTTTGTGTGTGTGTACATTTTTATTTCATTTTTACAGAGTAGGTAATTTGAAATTAAATTTGGTTTCTTTTTCATGTTGTAGTTGTTGCTGCTGGTTTTGGTATCCAGTTGTTTAACCTTTTTGACATTTTTTGTGGGATTTTTGTTGTTTGGTTGAATACTTTGTTAATTTTAATAATAAATATTTACATTGTTGCAGTTTTGTGGTTGTTGTTGTGGTGGTCATGGTGTTCATGTTCAAGTTGAGCACACAAACTCATTGGAGTTGTTGATAACAGTGGCGGTCATAAGTGTGAAGACATTTATCACTATTTAATTAGTTGGCATGTTTGTTGGACATTTTCGATGATAGTAGTGATAAAACTCTATATATTCATTACATTTTATCAAAAACCCATGCTGATAACTTTTTCCACAATTATGTCCACCACTGTATACCCTTTCCAATTTAATATTTTTTCTATGCATATATAACGCCTATCACCGCCTCTGAGTTGTTGTATTGCTCATGAATGTGTTGTTGTTGTTATCCTTACAAGTAAATCGATATATTTCCTATATTTATTTTATACATATTTATTCATTTCATATACAGTACATAGATGCCTACATACGGAGGCATATATGCATAGTTGTGTTGTTATCGTCAGCGTCATCATCCATATCCACGTTCATATCGTCATCATCATCATCATATATTCATGTACATATACATATATATATATTTGACTATAGGTGTTTATTTATTTATTTTTGGTATATTTAACTAGATTTTTGGTTTTCATCATCGGTATATGTTTGACTCGAATATAGAAATGTATTCGTGTGTGTGTGTGTAATGCTGCTGATGATGATGTCCAAATGAGAATCACTTTATTGCTGAATATGTTTGTGTATAGATTTGCATGATTTTCGTACGTATGTATGTGTCGGTGTCTTCTGAATTTACGTATCCATTTGATATTGCAGCGTCCTTTGGCATTGTTGGCTTCATTTGTCTTCTCTACATTTTTGACATGGTGGTGATGATATCTGCAAATAAAGTGGAGATTTTTTTAAATTAATGTTAGCTTTGTTTTTTCTTTGTGTTTATTTATTAAATGTTATTTTTTCTTGCTCTCGCTGTCTTCGTTTGGTTCCCTTTCTCATGGCAAGAAATGTAAGCAGGAAAAGTAAATATTTTTCAACTTGATAATTAGTTAAATGTAATGGAAATTAAAGAGAATTGTTTTGATAATTTGCGAAAGCTTAATTGAATTTGGTATGCAATGTAAATATTAGGACACTGAATTTAGGTAATCACAATTTGTTGTGATAAGGAGATTTTGTGAATATTTCTTAAAATGAAATGGATTGTACAATTTTAAAAAGATGACATAAAAAGTGTACATATTCTTTGTAAAGGTAGTGCGAATGTGATTCCAGAAACTTGAACAGTTTGCGTATTTAGTAGAGATCCCGTAACAAAAAAAGTTTATATTTGGAATTTATGTGAAGTGATTATACCAACTTTGAACCAAATAACATCGATAAGGATTATATTAAAAACCAGTAAGGAAAATTCAAAAGTCGGACGGGGCCGAATATATGAAATCCTACACCACTATGCATATTTAGTAGAGCTCCCGTAACAAGAAAAAAAAAACATAATTTCAAGTAGATCATTCCACCTATCAACATTTGCCTTTAGAGCAGTTATAGTTTGCTATAGAGTGCATGATATCACTTAGATGGAGATGGAGATGGATTACAATAAAAAATATATATCGGATCCAAGTTGAACAAAATAGAAACGTACGTCCCGAAATTCGCTCCATTTGGCCTTATATTAGCCATATTTTCCACAATAAACCTGAAATCGGATTAGGGATATATATGGGACCTATATCCAAATATGAACGCTTTGGCAGAGGTATTTCCGAGCTTTGTAAGATATCTGGGACCAAATATCATTATTGTCGAATGCATATTACGAATGTGAGGGACTTAAACACGAAATCGAATGAAACATATATATGGGAGCTATAGCTATATTTGAATCGATTTTCTCCGAATTCGATGTACTTGCTTCTAGACTGAATTCGGTCGGATGTACCAAAAGTCAGGACTTTCCGGCTGATATTGCCCATTTGGTGTACAATTAAATCGAAATCGGTTAAAGATATATGTGGGACCTATACCCAAATCTGAACCGATATATATATGAGAGTTATAACTATATTTAAATCGATTTTTTCCAAATTTGATGTACTTGTTTCTAGACTGAATTCGGTCAGATGTGCCAAAATTCTGTTCATTTGGACTGATATTGTTCATTTGGTGGCAATTAACCCGAAATCGATTCAAGATATATATAGGAGTTATATATATTAATTGAACCGATTGTTGGGAAAATTTCTTTTCAATCGGATAACAAATGCGACCTGCATTTTGTTCACAAAATACATGGCCGGACGGGTAGAATCACTGACGTGCATAAATAAAATCAGAAAGTGGTTTTATGAAGATCCTCAAAAGTAACTATGGGGCTATCTTGTAACCATGGGTCTATCTCTCAGGACTGCACTTTCCATCCATTTAGTAGGAATAGGCTGTTTCTAGTTGCTCACAAAAACCTCAGCTCCTGTGCCTGGCTTGCGCTTACGTGCGAACAGAACCCACTCTGTCTCTGTTGGTTTGACCCTTAAGCCGTTACTGTTTGGCCATCCTGACATCCTAGAAAGTTCACTCTTTGTGATACATTGGAAAGGAATTTCACCGATACAACTGTACAACTTCATCAGCATAAGCAAAAAAAAGTGCGTTGCTAAGGAAATTCATTGCGCACGTCTTCCATTATTCGACAAAGCACATTTTTGCTCAATGGGTATAGAGATAAGCAGAATTGTTGATTTTGAAGTGAACAACAGCCAAAAGCATTGCAAAAGCTACCAATGCGTCCAGATCTGATGGCATCATTGGACCCGGGATCAGAAAGTGGACATTGCATTAAATGAAAACATTCAGACCAGCGGTATCATCCGCCTACGATACAAAAAATCGACCTCGAATCTGCAGCCGTTGTTTTGCATATTCCGTGGGAAACGAAGGTGGCCATAGTAGATATGGCTAGCAATGTCAGACCAGAAGAGTATATAATTCGAATCCGGATGGCCGAATCCCTAATTCAAGTTTTACAATTTGTTCATTATTTAACCATCTTTTGAGGTAAAATAGGAGTTAAAATTATGGTGAATTAATTTTCCTTTGAAATATATTGACATAATTTTAATCAGCTTTAAGAAAAAATCCGCTGAAAACCTTCAAAAATCATAATTCTTTAAAGTATGTCGAATTGAGAGTTGCCTCCGATTGAAATGCTGTAAGTTTAAACAAAACTTGTTCTATTTTTTTTTTTTTTTCAAAGAGATTGGCATTTTTAGAACACATACAAGAGTCAATATATATTTTCAAAATAAAGGAAAAAGATTATAGGACTGACAGTTTTTCAAAAATTAATATTAATTTAATTTTGGGGTCGAGCAGTGCCTTCTCCGACTTGCTCAATTATGTAGCCTTAAACCAGTAAAGAAAGTCTTAAAGTCGGGCGGGGCCGACTTTATGATACCCTACACCACTTTGCTAATTTAGTAGAGCTGCGCATAACAATTAAACGTTTTTAAGGGAGAGTTCAATCATACACCCTATGATTATAGATATAATTTAAAGTTCAAAGAACTAAATACGCCGAAGCACTTGTATCTTTTTAATTCGGACTTGTATGGCTCATTTGGTGCAAAATTAATTTGAAATCGGCAAAATATATATATGGGAGCTATATCCAAATCGGAACCGATCTCTACAAAATTTGGCAAATATATTTCTGAACTGTATTTGATATAGTTCCCTGCATATCGTTGTTACGGAGTGCATATTACGGCTGTGGGTAACAAATATGACAAATCGGAGCTATATCCAAATCTGAACCGATCTCGATAAAATTTAGGAAATGTATTTCTGAGCTGTATTATTATTATTATTGTTGTTGCAGAGTGCATATAATGGCTGCGGAGGACAAAAAATCGGATGAACAATATATATGGGAGCTATAGCTATATCTGAACCGATTTCGATCAAATTTGGCATACTTATTTTCAGACCTAATTTGGTTGTTTGGTGCACAATAAAAGGCAAATCGGACAAAGATATATATGGGAGCTATATCTAAATTTTGACCGATTATCTTCAATTTCAATAGGGTTCGTCCTTGGGCCAAACAAATGATCTGTGAAAAATTTCATCTGGATCGGGCAATAAATGCGACCTGTACTTTGTTTACAAAAATACATGGACAGACGGACGGACGGACATGCATAAATCGACTGAGAATGTGATTCTATCAAAAGGAACTATTGGTCTATCTCGTCTCCTTTTGCCTGTTACAAACAAATGCACAAAGACATAATACCCTGACCACCTCGTGGTGTAGGGTATAAATAGAGGTTTATAAGATATCTGTTACCAAATATTATTGTTGTCGAATGCATCTTACGAATGTGAGGGACTTAAACACGAAATCGAATGAAACATATATATGGGAGCTATAGCTATATCTGAATCGATTTTCTCCGAATTCGATTTACTTGCTTCTAGACTGAATGCGGTCGGATGTACCAAAAGTCAGGACTTTCCGGCTGATGTTGGCCATTTGGTGCATAATTAATCCGAAATCGGTTAAAGATATATATGGGACCTATAACCAAATCTGAACCGATCTTGACAAAATTTGATACACTTATTTCAAAGCTGTATCTGATATCTGGTTCCAAAGATCATTGTTCTGGAATGCATATTACGCATGTGAGGGACTTTAAACGCCAAATCGAATAAAACACATATAGAGGAGCTATAGCTATATCTGAACCGATTTTCACCAAACTTGAAGTATTGCTTTATAGGATGAATTCAGTCGTAATTGCCAAAATTCAGTGATATTAGCCATTTGGTGCACAATAAATCTGATATCTGATAAAGATAAATGTGGAACCTAATCAGAACCGATCTCGATAAAATTTGTAGTGCATATTACGCATGTGAGGAACCTAGAACCCCAAATCGGTTAAACTATATATATATATATATATATATATATATATATATATATATATATATGTATATATATATATGAGAGTTATAGCTATATTTGAATCGATTTTTTTTTTTCCCAAATTTGATGTACTTGCTTCTAGACTGAATTCGGTCAGATGTGCCAAAATTCTGTTCATTTGGACTGATATTGTTCATTTGGTGGCAATTAACCCGAAATCGATTCAAGATATATATAGAAGTTAAATATAAATTTGAACCGATTGTTGGGAAAATTTTCTTCTCAATCGGATAACAAATACGACCTGCATTTTGTTCACAAAATACATGGACGGACGAATAGAATCACTGACGTGCATAAATCAACTCAGAAAGTGGTTTTTTGAAGATCCTCAAAAGTAACTATGGGTCTATTTTGAAACTAATTAGTAGGAGTAGGCTGTTTCTAGTTGCTCACAGATACCCCAGCTCCTGTGTCTTCTTCCATCTCTGATCACAATTTATCTGGCTTGCGCTTACGTGCGAACAGAACCCACTCTGTCTCTGTTGGTTTGACCCTTAAGCCGTTACTGTTTGGCCATCGTGACATCCTACAAAGTGCACTCTTTGTGATACATTGGAAAGGAATTTCACTGATATTAACTGCACAACTTCATCAGCATAAGCAGTGCGTTGTTAAGAAAATTCATTGCGCGCATCTTGCATTTTTCGACAAAGCTCATTTTTGCTAAATGGGCATAGAGATAAGCAGAATTGTTTGTTTTGAAGTGAAAACAGCCAAAAGCATTGCAAAATCTACCAATGAGTCCAGATCTGATCTGATTGGACCCGAGATCGGAAAGTGGACATTACATTAAATGAAAACATTCAGACCAGCGGTATCATCCGACTATGATACAAAAAATCGATCTCGAATCTGCAGCCGTTGTTTTGCCTATTCCTTGGGA